ATGGGCTGGGGGGACCCTGCCAGTCCTGGAATTGGGCATGTGGCCTCTAGATTAGGGAGGCTTGGAGGCCCTGGTCTCTGTTTTAGGAGGATAAACACATATAACTTGGGAGGTGGATGGGTCAGAGGCCCGGGGCCAGGCCTGGGCCCAATGGATTAGAGACCAGAAATTGAGCAGAGATTATCATAGTTAACACTTATTGAGCACCTACTGTGTGCCAAGGAGCAGAATAAACCCCAGATCCTGTTCTGGGGAGCTGACATGACGGGGAGGGGCAGAAAGGGGCAGGTAGGTAACATATAGAGGGTTAGTGCTTTGGAGAAAAATGAGGTGCAGGAGGGAGATATGAGGGGTTGGAGATGTGAATGAGAGTGGAAGAAATCTCCCTAGAGAGGTGTCATTCAAGCCAGAGCAGCGGGGAGTCCTAGGGTTCCTGTTTGTCTGGTACCCAGCTGCGCTCTGAGGTGGGAGGAGTTTCCCCATTACTGACTGGGAAACCAGATCAGAGAGGTAGGGAAGTTGGCCCAAGGGCACACAGTATTCAGGGCAGCCTGGGTGCACAGTGGCCCTTGTGGCAGCAGGGAAGAGAGAGGAAGGAGTTGGGCACCTTGAGTCAGAGGGAGGGACTTGGTGACTTGGGGAGTGTGGGTGGGGTGGAGGAGGAGGAAGTAGATGACTGAGGCTTGAAAGTTGCCTCCAGATAAGTAGACACTCCGTGTCTGGGCAGAGCTGTCTGGGAGAGGCAGTTTTTTTCCAACATCCAGGCCAGGAAAGCCCCAAGAGTATTTCTGCTGCCGTATGCCAGGAAGCCCTTTGGGTGGCACAGCTGGACAGGCCCCTCCTCACTGAGCCCCTCAGGGATTTCTGGGGGGGCTGCTGTCCAGACCAAGAGTAGGTGGTGCTACTCTTTTTACTCAACAGTCTGGGAGCTTCTGGAAACACAATTGAGCGAATCCCAGGGCTCCTGGCACTCCCAGGCCTGGTGTGCAAGGTCCCACTTGCCACCGCATCCCAGTCCCAGAAAGCCACTTTCCCCTGCGAGGGCCCAGAGCTTTTGGAATTCTCTTGGGCATCACGCTGGCCCTCGTGTTCTTCTGAGGCTCTCCTTGTCTGTTGTCTGTGGTGTCACCAATGTGCTTATGGGGCCTGGGCCCCCACACACACCCAGAGCAGTCATAGGACAGCACGTGCCAACGCCAGTGGCGGAAAGCCTGGTCCTGGCCAGGGAGATGCCTGCGGCTTCCACAGCGGACAGACAGGCCCAGAGGCCAGTGGGCCTGGTGGTCAGAGGTTCAGACCCTTGGTTTTCAGTCCACACCCCTGCCACTCCTGGACTTGAGTGACTGTGGGCAGGTGCCCAACCTCTGGGCCTGGTTACATCCATAAAATGGAGCTCACAGACCCACCTCTTTGGATCTTGTCATAATTAAATGGGTTAAATCCACAGAAAGAACTCAGCTTTCTGCCTGGCATACAGGGAACTCTCAACAACTGTTAGCTACTCTAAAACAAATGATTTTTTTGGAGTCAGTAATCCATGTGGATGATGCAAAATTCAAAGATGTTCCGGGACATGCAATGACTCTCCCTCCCAGCGGGCCCCAGCCTCCCTGGGCTCTGTTTTGAGGCTTTTTATTTTCTTCAGTTGCAAAACACAGACATACGCTCTTCTGCACCTTTTGTTTTCATCACTAAGTACACCCAGAAGGAAGTTCCGTTCTATGTCAGGAGATAAAGAGCATTTTTGTGTGTGTGGCTGCACAGTGACGTAGATGGACCATCATTTATTTAGTTAAGTCTCCCCCAGGGGCTTTAAAGTTCTTTAGATCTGAACTTTTCTTCTTACTGGGAAACTAGCAAGATTGTGCTGTTTCCATGGGCAAATTTTCTTTCTTTTCTTTTCTTTTTTTGGGGGGAGGGGCTAGGGGAAGAGGGAGGTAACGGTTTTATTTTATTTATGTATTTATTTTCATGGAGGTACTGGGGATTGAACCTAGGACCTTGTGCATGCTAGGCACACACTCTACCACTGAGCTATGTCCTTCCTCCTTGGGAAAATTTTAATGGAGTCTTCTCTCTCTGCTTGTGTATCTGAGTCTTCATGTACATTTCTTCCTGGACTTGTTTGTACTTGTGACCTTCTTGAGATTTAATTTAGATATGGTATATTGTCCTAATCTTAAGTGTATACCTTCATTTTTGAAATAAATGTGTGCACTGGTCAGATCAAGATAGAGGACCTTGTCATTATGCCAGAAAATTCTTCTGTTCCCCCAGAGGGAACCAACTGCTCTGATACCTATCAACAGAGACGAGTTTTGCCTGATCAAGGTCAGGTCTACCTTATGACTCAGCAAGAGAAACGAGGGCGTATGTCAACCAAAGGCATGCATGCAAATGTTCATAGCAGCTTTATTTGTTCCCCAACAGGGAAGACTCCCAAACCCCATCAGTTAGTAAGCAGATGAACAAACTGTGGTCCGTCCTTGCAGTGGAGTGTGGGTCAGCAAGGAAAGGGAATCCCTGATGATGCACAGCAGCGAGGAGGAGCCACGTCGGTGGGACCCTGGGGATTCTACTTCCACACTGCTCCTGTCTTGTTTGGTCGTTGACAAACGTTCCACTCACGTGGAAGAGGTGGAGCGGGAGATTCTTGGGAAGGACCTGCACACGGTCAATGCTGCTGTTGTGATTCAGTGCCGGAGACCGGCGCCCATGGTTTCTGACCTGCCTCATCTCTGATGCACAGGTGTCTCCTGTCCCTGCCTCCTGGGTCTCTGCCTGTGAGCCAGGTGGCCAAGGGCCCCAGGGAGCCAGGACCAAGGCCACCTGTGCTCCAGGTGCTCTGCAGGGCTGCTGCTTGCGCTGTGAAGGGGCGGTGGTAAAAAGCTGACTTCGGGGTCTGGTGACCTGCACGTGGCCCCTTGCTGTTTCCCAGCCCTGCCCACTCCGCACCCAATTACATGAAGGTCCTTTGTTTTCCCTTCTCAGAGAGACCTTCCCTGACCATCTGGCCCCCAAGCCCTCTTACCCCCAGAGTGTGTCTCCTTTGGCCCCCCCAATCTCATGTGGTCCTCGTCAGGATTTCTGTGCTTGTCTCCCCAGCACCTTCCATGTGCTCAGTAGATGTGAGTGGTACTTGAGTGGGACAAGCTCGTGACCTTGGCCAGGTCACGAATCCTCCCTGCTCCTCAATCTCCTTATCTGCCAAATGGGAGAATGGGAGTCACAATCAGGGTATGTTGTGCTATGTGAAGTGGGCGGGAAGTGCTCTGAGCAGGGCCATTGTGGCCCCTGGGTTGTTTGTCATCGTCAGGAACGTGGCCCTGTGGGTAGCACCCAAGGTGTGGAGGGTTGACTGCTGCCAGAGGCAGCAGGCTTCACCCCACGGGGGCTTGTGTGTGTGCCCTTGCGGCATTCTTCCCTCTGTTTTGGCCCTTCCCTTCCTCTGAGGTTCTCCATGCGACCTGTCCCCTCATCATGGCCGGCTGGCTCTGAAACTCCTCTTGACTCTGTCCAATGTCTGTTGACTGCCCTCTGTCCTTGCCATCCCCCAGTCCAGCCCCGGTTGTTACTTGCCTTGACCAGCACGGTTGCCTCCTGACTGCCTTCTCTGCTCACCGCCACCCATCCTGGGGCCTGTCTACTCTGTTTACTAGCCGTGCTCCCATGGGACCTCCAGAGCCATGCAGCCTGTGGAGGGCTCCTCATCTTGCAGGCCGGCCTGCTGTGCGTGTGGTCACCACTACGTCCTCGTGCCCAGCCAGAGGAGGTGCTGCATAAGTGTGGTGGGACCGCCCACAGGCCAATGGGCCTTGCACCCCCTAGTATGTGGTGTGTGGTGAGGGTGCGCCTCCTCCCTTATCCGCCCATTGGGATAACTGGTTCTCGGGGGTTCTGGCTCCCAGCCCAGACTGAGGACCAGCAACCTCCTCTGGGGCTCCTCAGAGTCCCCATGAGGGGTTCCAGACACAGGGGTTGTCACAGTACTGGGAGCAAGATAGCACCAAGGATGCTTGCCTCTGCGAGTCGCACCTGCCCAAGTTCTGCACAAATACCATGTAATCTAAACATTTATCTGGATGCAAACCTTGTTTAAAATTCCCTGAGTCTAGAACCTTTCTCCATTTTACACAAAAGAATGAAGAATCCTTTGCACGGCGTTAGTGATCTCTGAAAATGCCGCTTCTACTTCTGTGCCAACCTGGACCCCTGCTCTTTTGCTTTCCTTTCTTAGTGGTCCAGGGTGGCTTCCGGTCTTCCCACTTTGCGTGACTGTAGGCGTGTTAGTGTAGGTCAGTGCAGGCAGTGCCTGAGTATTTCCATAGTGAAGTACATAGGATTTTTTAAACAATAAAACAGTTTTATTGAGGGATCATTTACATGCTAGGAAATGCACTCATTTCAAATGCAGTGGGTTTTTAGTCAATTTATAGTAAGTGTTAGTAAACATTACCGCAGTGCAGTTTTAGAACATTTCCATCACCCTAGAAAGCTCCCCCACTTTCTTTCCCACCCCCCGGGGCAACCACTGATCCACTTCCTGCCTCTATCGATTTGTCTTTCTGGGACATGAAACACATCACATTTTGTCATTAAGTACTTTTCTTTTATTTGAGTCTCTATATCAGACATATGGCATTATATTAATCTTAAAAATGTATGTAAAAAATGTACTGATCTCTTTTGGGCCTGGGGGAGATGTTCCAAATATTTGTCAAGGAAAGAGCCCCTTGGGCATGCTGGGACTGGAGCATACCCAGCCAAAGGGAAATGGTTCCATTTGTCACCAACCTTCAATCCAGTCCCTCCACTGCCCCTCCTTGGCCTCAGAACCCTCCAAGGCCAGAGTGTTTCCTGGTGCCCTGCTGGGGTTGGTGTCTTTGCTGAGGTCGCCCAGATTGCAAGAGGGGATTGCTCCACCATATGTGGTCACACTTCCTGCCCCCACAAGCCGGCCTCATGAGTAATTTCTGTCCCTTTCCCCTCCCACAGGGACTTCCTTCCCCGAGGTTCAGGAATTGTCACTCGGCGGCCTCTCATTCTGCAGCTCATCTACTCAAAAACAGGTACGATGGGGAGGCTCACAGCTGCAACCGGAAACGGTCGTGGATGCGGTGCCCCGCAGGAGCCAGGGGGCTTATGATGAGCCTCGGGTCTTGGGCTGCCATTTGGGTTTGGGTTCACATTTCCCACATGTGCCGGGAAGTTGAAGCACAGTTCATTGATTCCAACCTCCACCCACCCCTAGTGTCCTCAGCTGTGACCAGGCCACCAGGTGCCATGTTTCTTGCTCTATTGAAGATGACATGTTTCTGCTGAACGCTTTCAAAATCAGTAGCAGACATTGTGATATGTCAGCCAGAAATGCTTCAGTGCACCTCCCCTTGCAGTAAAAGCACTCTCTTACACTCACAGACCACACCCAAGAAAAGTCATTCCTGCATGTTATCTAATGCCCAGTCCATAAGCATGTTGCCAATTGTCCTCTGCATATCTTCCCTGGCTGGTTCTGCAGCTGCTCCAATCAATCCATGTTATCCTTCATTGTCCAGTCTCCTCTTTTCATCAGAGCAGCATTCCCACCATTTCCTTTTTAACTACAACATTGACTTTTGGAAGAGACTCGGCCTGTTGAATATAGAATGACCCACATACAGATTTTTTTCCTGTCCTTTCGGTTTATTTCTGTTCTTCCCACACAAATCTGAAAAAATAATGGGGATGTTTCCCAGCATGAAACCCAGTCAAGCCTCCTTGGAAAGCATCTCAAGTCAGAAGCTGGAAGGGGAGGGGGGAGCTGTTGGGGAGGGGGCCTTTCTTTTCTCCAGGGCCCCCAGGGGTCTCTATGCTGCTTCCCCACTGACCTGAAATATCAGCACTGATCTGTTCAGCGCTAGGTGTGTGCCAGCAGCACCACGGGTCATGTTAAACACCCCCATGCTGGGAAGGCAACTGACATACTCTCCCATTTCACAGACAGGGAAACTGAGGCTTAGCCAGGTTACCTGCCTTTCTAGTGGGCGCCCAGGCTGGATCAGGCCTCCGACTACACTCTGAGCTGGCCCTAGCCGCACCCTCTTGCCTTCATCTTCAGACTTTGCCCAACGCACCTGCGGGGGGGGCGTGGCACTAGTGAGAGACAGCAGCTGATTGGTCCAGTACGTCCCCTTTGTGAGCTCTGCCATATCGTAGGCCAGGGGAAAGGTGATGGGCTGCCTCCTCTGGGTTTCTGAGTTCCGGTGTCCAGTCAGCTGTGCCGGGAAGGGCAATGACAGAGCCGTGGTTTTCAGATGCCAGCGAGATCACAGTCATGTAGGGCTTGTCCCGTTGGGTTTTTGTTTTCCATTCAGTCTGTTGGTAGGAGGTAGGGAGTAAGAATCTGCATTTTTAATGAATTTCCAGGTGATGCTGATGCTTTTGGGCCCTGGCCACACTGGGAAAACCTCTGCCCTGGTGGGTGGGGTCTGGGAGCTAATATTGCCCAGATTCAGATACTGATTCTGTGGCTTACTGGCTGTCTGGTCCCTGGGGAAGGACTGTTGGTCACAGCCGTGTTTCCTGTCTGGACAGTGAAGATAATAATAGTACCGCCTTTGTGGGTTGCCGTGAAGACCGTGTTCTTCACTGTAGAACAGTGCCTGGCACACTCCAGCCCCTTGCTGAGTGGTGCCATTCCAGTGTTCTGTGCTTGCTGCTGGCCTGTTTGGAGACAGCTTGCTGGGAGAACAGGTTGGCTGGCTTCCAGCACTAGAAGGTCTCTGGTGTTGTCATAGTGGGAGGGCTCCCCTATCACCTCCACAGTGGCTGTCACCCAGCGGTGGTCCAGTGAGCACTTACTGCATGCCGCAAGCCGGTTCAGGGCCTCTGCCACCACCTGTCACCTTCTCTCTTGGCACTCCTGTCAGTGCTGGGGGACAATACAGGGGGAGACTTGGGGTGAGTCCAGAAGGGAGACACGTAGGCATGACCTTCACCACATGGGAGTGTGTGTGGTGTGGGGGGAGGGTGACTAACTGCGTCCTGGAGGGGTGGGGGTATCACCGGGCTTGTCTGAGGAGGTGATGTTACAGCTGACGCTGACAGGTGCTTCGGGGTGTGTCTGGGCAGGGGGAGCTCTCTTTCCTAGCAGAGAGTGCTATGTGTGAAGACCCTGAAGTGTGATGCCCACCGTGGAGGAACTGAAATTCCTTGGGTGTGGGGGAAGGGAGGAGAAGCACATGACAAGTGACAGCCCAGTGGGAACTCTGAGGGCAGGAACTGTGGGTGCACATCTGCCCAGTGCCTGACCTGGATTGATGTTGAAATCTCCATTCCTGCCACCCTGTTTTACAGAGGAGGGAGCAGACTTCCAAGCCACTTGCCTGAGGGCACACAGGAGGTCATCTTGAAAGCCTAGTTTTAAATGCATTCTTAGGGGTGTGGCCTTAGGCCAAGGTGTGATTCGACCAGATTCTGTGGCCACTGGTGGAGGAGAGACCACAGGGAGCTGTGCTGGGGCAGAGGGACCCAAGAGGAGGTGGGAGCAGGTACCCTGAGGCAGGCGAGGATGGAGTGGCATCCGTGGAGATGGAGACGTAGTTGGATCCTGCTGGGCTGGGGCTGGGAGGAGCGATGGGGGAGCAGGGTCCAGGGTGTCCTACATGGAAGCTTTCCTTGCTGTGTCCCAGCTTGCATACTCCCCCTCCCTGGCCTGGCCATGGCATTCCCAGTGTCTTAATGCCCCAAGTAGATTTTTGCTGGGCCTTGACCAAAAGCCAGGGAGGCAGTGTGAGCATGCTGAGGGTCTTGGCCCTCCCTGAGCTCAGCCTACTGGATGCGGCAGACATGAGGTTGCTATGGTCGGGCTAGGAGGGTGAAGCTCAGGCCATTGTGGGATAGTATATCGCGCATTGGGTCTACTTTGGGCCAGGGGCCCAGGGAGGACGTTCTAGGCAGGGCAACAACTGTGTTGTGAAGCTGCGAGGTGAGGCTGGGGAGCGGTCAAGTGCGAGGTGGCACATCCTGGCAGGTGTGGTGAGGGAATTCAGGGATTAGGATCCTAAGTGGCATTAAGGGTATGGAGAGACTGGCTTAGCCCACTGGCTGCCTTGTGGAGGAGGGACAGGCAGGGACAGGAGTGTGGGTGGGGAGGCCAGGGAGAGGTTAGCCTGGCACCAGGTGAGAGGTGATGGGGCCTGGCCCAGGGCGGTGTCATGGTGGGGGTGAGCGCAGTCTGGAGTGACCTCATGGTGGGGAGCCCAGGTATGGATGACCGAGGCCCCTGGGCTGGGGAAGACGCCCTGCTTGTAAGAGTGGGGAAGCTGAGCACAGCACAGGGTGCAGTGAGGGCTGGGGCTGCGCAGGGCTGCATTGCTGCTAGAGACTGGACTGTTCAGCTGGGTCTCAGGGACAGGACTCCGGAGCCAGGCTGCCACCCCTACCTATTTGGGGCCTCAGGCAAGTGGCTTCCCTCTCTGCCTTGGCCCCCTCGTCTGTTAAATGGGGGTGAGAGTGGTGATGCCCTTGTGGCCCTGGCACCCCGTGGCACCCCATGAGGCTGTGGTGTGGCCGTAACATCCTGTGGGGTCTGGTGTCCCTAGTACTACGGGGCCCTAACTCTCTGACTCCTGCATTGCCTAGGGGCACCCGGCTTCTCCCCATCCAGGCAGGTCTCTGTGAGCTGTTACTAATCGGCTTGGTTTAAAAATTACCTCAGACCACAGCCACCAGGAAGTTTGGTGGCTCATGGGTGAACCTGCTCCTCCTTGGGAGCCACTCCTGGGCCTTGTAAACTCTGGGTGCTGGAGACTGTTCTTGTGTGGAATGTGGACAACCAGGCCTCCTAAGGCTCCCCTCCCAGCCTTGTCTTTGGCTGGGGCTCACAGGAGCCAGAGAGGAGGTGTCAGGACTTGGCTCTCGGCCTTCTTCTTGAGGCTTCATGGCCTCTGGGACCTCACCTCCTCTTGGTGCCCAGATCTCATCCTCCAGACCAACTGGGTTGTTCCCGCCTCCGGACCTTCGCCCTCACTCTGCTTCCTGCCTGGAACACCAGGCCGCCGCCGCCGCCTCCTCCCCCTCCCCCTCCCTCCCTCCCCCCTCCCTCCCCCTCCCCCTCCTCCCCTCCTCCCCCTCCCCCCTCGGGTCAGCCCCACCGCCAGCCCTGCTGCCTTAGTTCCTCTGCAGCGTGTGTTATGAGACACTGTCCTGCTCTTTTGTGTTTCTGATGGTCTCTCTCTCCCCCTGCTTCAACATCAGTGCCCCCAGAGCAGGGCTGCCGATTGCTTTGTCCTTTGCTCTCCCCCGTGCCCGGCCCAGGGCCTCCCATGCCGTACAGGCCCCATCAGCTCAGGGCTGGTGCCTGGCGTGCCATAAGGGATGCTGCTGTGCCCCTGAGGTGGGATTATCTGCAACTGTGCATGCTGCACCTTTCCCGGGAGCCTGGGCCTGGCAGGGCCCCCGTTCTATAAAACCTATAGACCCTGCAGCAGGCGGGGCACGGCCTTGTGTCTCCATGAGGAAACCAAGCTGGGAGCTGGTGAGGGTCAGGTGGGGGCCAGCCGGGGGGCCAGCCTGGGGCTGTCATCTTCTCTGGTGTGTGTTTTTCCCCACATCTCCCAGCAGGTCTCCAATTCCCAGTGGACACGGATTGGGGGTCCTTCAAGTTAACTCAGTTCTGACACTGCCTGCCTGGAGGCAGCATCAAATCCTGCAGCTTAAGGGCTCAGTCCCACCAGGCTGTACCCCTACCTCCTTCAGATGCCAGGGCTGTCACTTGTGCTTCTGACCGACCAGCTGTCGATCAGAGGTTCCTGTGAGCCCCTTCTTGGGTTCTATCAATTTTCTAGATGGCCCATAGAACTCAGAGAAACCTTTTACCCCCCGGATTCCCGTTTTATTATAAAAGAATGTATGTAACTCAGGAAGAGCCAGATGGAAGAGATGCATAGGGAAAGGGCTGCGGAACTTCCATGCCCTCTTTGAACTTGCCGCTCTCCCCAGCCCCTGCACCTGCTCACCAACCTAGAAGTTCTCTGAACCCCATCCTTTTGGAGTTTTATGGAGCCCTTATCAGGTAGGAATGTTGATT